CGTTAAGGGCCTCTCATCGGTGGCATGTTACGTCAACAACGCCTTCGACAATGGATGTTTTATGGGCAACCTGGACACCTTCGATGGTTTCGCGCCTTTTTGTTCTATGAACTGCACGCGAGCTGCCCTGCCGAAACTCTCTGAGGAAGCCTACTTACGAGAGCCCTTCCTAATCATCATAACTTCCGTCGATGTTTGGCTAAACCATCCGGATGCCTATGTACGTGATATGAGCAAATTGGGAGCCTGTCTTCTGATAAGCTCTCTTTGGCAAGACCTGCGCGGTTCCGGTGTCCGAATGCAAGCCTATCTGCCCTGTCTCATTTCCACCGAGGTCACCAAGGTGCCACCTAGCAGGCACTTTGTACCGTCGGCGGAGGTCTTTGCGGCTGCGGCCTTGGACATGCTGGGAGTTGAGGAGATTGGTTGTGGCTACTTTTATCATGCTCTACAGTGCTCGTTCCCTGGTATTTCTCGTATGCTTTTCGGGTCTTCTGGAGGTGCGCGTCAGAAGAAAATGCCACAATGCCCCTCAATAACGATGGAACTCTAATGATGGGACCGTCAGTGATCGAAACAACAATCTCAAATTCTGCTAAAAATCAATTGTTACTAAACGTACAAACTAGGTTATGGATTAGTTGCTGCAAATTAAGCCGTCTGTTAAATATAAGTATTAAAATGACAACACAGCTGGTTTTGAAGTTAAAAATTTCCAATTTTATTGACATTTGGTTTGGGTGGAACAGGTATAAATTAATCTACTCGCTTATGTACTTTGATGTATGGAATACCGATTTGGTTTGAATCAGTTCTCCTTTGAAGGAACATTTGTAACAGAGATCGCGGAGAGTAAACTGGAAGTACTGACTAAATCCAAATCGCCGGCTGACCATATTTAAAATCTAATTTTCTTGGACAGTGATCTGGATACTCTAGTAGTCTACACATGGGTTCCCGATTAGGTGGTTAGGATGGAACGTCCCTGACGCGAGTTCTTACTAAGTGGGTATAAGAAGTAGATATTTCTATAAAAAGGGTGTCAGTAAGATAAGTATCAAAACGTGCGAATGTCACCAACACTAATCCCGCAGGTAGCGAAATATGTTCGATCGAACACTGACACAGTGTTGACTGGACAATTCGCATGAAGACTACCCCCAGTAGAACGTGCAGATCAAGTGGGCAAAATATACAGTAGTATAAATGTAGTATAAATTCGGCATATGCATCCGGACTTTTCCAGTAGGATTCCCTGATGGAGTCCGCTTGGATTTGCTACTAGGGCGACGTGGATCAAGTAGATTCCGAACGGCTGAAATGGAGGTCATAGATATATCGACAAGGGTGATAAGGTTGTAATAAGCCGTGAGCGTAGACACTCGTAATGGTTGTTCAGGTTAACCTGCTGGGTGATACTCCTCGCACCGGAAGGCCAAACCTCGAAAAGTTTCCACGTTTATTTTGTGTTAACCATGACGAGGGCCTCAATTTACTCCCATTTACCAGCCGAAGATGCGCAAGAATTACGAGTAAAATTTTTTTCTTTATGTGGATCTCATGTTCTAGAGCCTAATAGCAAATCCAAGCAAATTCCATCATTGAATCTTTTATAGCCCAGTATTTCGAACCCAAGTTGAGGGCAGAAGAAGCCAAGAGAGCGGTTCTGATAGCAGGTCTTTATTCAGGACGGTATAGAGACAGCGAAATGGATTATCGTTTCCACTACAGCCTATTATAAGGCTTTGATTCT